TATTTGATAAAATTAACAATTTTATTACTAATATTTACTTATTCACTCGACGTTAACATATACCATATATATAATAAACGAAAAATCCAGAGATAATCGAATACTTATAAAAGTGAAAAATTCAAATTGCTGCTGTAGAAAGAGTGGTATTTAGCAAAGTAAGGAACAATATATAATGGCACTTTGCACGTCGTACACCAATACCGTGATTCTTTTCTAATTTTATTTTTACAACAATGTAAACAACTTCGTGCAGGATTGGCCTCAAAATATTCTGAACATCTTGAAATTTGAGAATATGTTTTTGTTTTCCTTAAAATTACAATTTAAATAGCCAATGGTCGCTACTTCTTACGCACGACGAGTACACTCGTCGTGTCACAAAATATTGCCATTTCTCCGTGACGAGTATACTCGTCGAACACAGCTAAACTGGTTAAATGGTTGTTATATAAGAAAAACGAGACGAACCGATCACATTGTTTCGGTCACTGTCCGCTGCTCTATGCAAAGAGACTGCGAAGAGAAACCCGTAACTCTGGCCTAATATCTGTGCCCCTTTCCAGGAGAAGACGAACGCGGTGAAGGCGTTGGCGCGCGAGCAATGCGAAGCAGCAGTGCAACTGCAACGGCAGCAACAACTGCAGCAGCACCAGAACGCGTCGCACCATCAGCACCACCAGCAGCAACTACACCGAGGTCCCCTATCGCACCACGCCGGCTACGCGGCCAAAGTCGGCCCCCTCGCCGGCCAGCAGAACGCTGCCGGCCACTCGAGCCACGGCAGAGGCTCTCACTACCAGCACTACCATCATCATCATCATCATCGGCACGTGTCGATGTCGCCGGCACCCATCGCAGCGACGCACAATCACCTGAACGTCAGCACTCACAGGAGCATAGTCACGCCGCCGGACACGCCGGGGGACAGGTCGCCTCCCAGCCCTGGGAACAAGCTGAACAGGTCCCAGCATCTGCCCAGGGAAGCCAGTGGCAGTGTCAGCCCTGGACTACCAGCCGCCACGCTGGACCTTAGCAGTGCTGCGACCACCAATAGTCCCCATGAACTCTCAACTTTGGTCTAGGACCGGGATTCTAGGTTGAGGCTGACGATGTCTCTTCGCGATCGGGATCAGGAGGATCTTGCCTAGAGGAATCGATATTGCTCGCATTTCACGGTGTGGTTCCTTGTGGAACTGTCTCTTCGACAGTCCTGAGTCGATCGAAGGAAGACTTTTTGAACGATGCCGACCTTGATAAGATCGCAACGATCAATTCTTGCAAGCTAATCCACCTCAACCTAGACCCAAGATGGGCCTGAACGAAGACATTGCGTAATCTTCGTGGAATTTTCCTTTCGTTCGTTTCGAGTCAATAATTGGAATCTAACGGTGTAACGTTCTTTAACCTCGCGTTGATCTCGATGTTAAAACAATTGCCTACTACTCGTTCGAAAAGTATAATTGTTTCTTGCCGACTTGTCGGTTGAATAGTGCCTTCGCTGTTAGAAATCCTTATTGGTCAACGGTATTTAACAAGTGACCTTTCTAAAAGAAAATTGATCGGCCATCGATCGAGCAATCGGAAGAGAGATAGCGAAAGGGTTTCTTGCGTGCTTAAAGCTAAACAGTGCGCGAAAAGTTGATCGTTAGCGAGCCTCGTGCTTGGAACTATCGATACGAGTGTGCGAAAGAAGTAAATGTAAAAAAGTATTGAAAGTTGAAACGTTGAATCGAAGTGATTGAGTTGAGAATATTTGCACGTCGAAACTATCAATCGCCCAATGAATTAGGTTAAGCTCCGTGGTGGGCAATTTTTCTGATTCCAAAATACGAGAGTTATTCGAATTTAGTGTGCTATTTCTGTGAATAAGAATAGGATCAAAGTTCGCCCGCCGCCTACGTCTTCTCTAACTCATTGGGACATAGTTTACACCAGCATGGATCTTGCCATTTCTTTATTATTATTATTATGTTTAATCGTACGAAACCTCTAGTCCTAGGTTACTTTCGCTTTCACGAAAGATTAAGGTTTGCGGACTTTGACTATCGCGACTAAGCGATTACAGACTCTTCGTTAAATGTATCTCGAAGTTAGAGAGTTTCGAATCTCGAGATGTGGCGAATTTAATTTAATTACCGGGCGCTTAAAATGTGTCCAATGTTAATTCTTTTCGCTCAACACAGATGCTTCTTTATAAATATCGTCCATTTTTACTTGAAACGTCCACAAAATTTTTCATTCGTTTTATTGTCAGCGGTATCATGTACGCAACGTTTGCACAATATTGCGCATCCTGAGATTCGAACTCCACCAAGATTTCCAGCAAGCATAAATCATCTTGATTTTTATTATTTAAGCATTTATCCTTGAATACGTGTTTGTTCCTTTCCGCGCGGTCTATACTTTAATCACTTCCAATAGCTGCAGTTATTAAGTTGTGAACGGACGTAAGTTTAGACTTAAATGCTTAATATTATTTAAGCGAGCCGACCAACTCGTTGTATAGAAGAATTCGTTCTACAAGAGTAATAGTATTTTTTATTCATAGAGAATCTTTATTTCTTACTCATTAAACATTGTTTTCTTATGCGAACGTATTTATAACATGCCCTAGTTGTAAACTAAAAAAAGTGAAACAATAATTCAGTGCACTAGAATCAAAGTTATAGGATGACTTAGAAAAAAAATCTGCGATATATAATACTTACAAAAATATGTGGCTCACGATTTGAAAGTTACACGGTAACAAATAACAGTACAAAAGTACTTAACTATACAGGGGGTTCCCAGGATTCATGGTGCAATCAGAATGAAGGTGATTCTATACGAATAACTAAGAGAATTGTTTTTTTTCTGGTTTTGCCGTTATTATTGGGGCACGCTGTATACAGTTAATTATCGTAAAATCACCAGACTTGGCGGGTAAAGTGTTTTAAAGAGAATGATACGAATTTGTATTGCAGTAGAATTTTTGTGAATTCTTATTAGCCTGTTTTACAGTTCATTGTTAAGTCGACGTTAACGAAAGTTGGGCCAATGTTTGTGTACATAGTATATAAAAGGATGCAGACTATACAAATGTATCTCGTGTAATTTCCGAGTAATATTTGAAGTGGGTATGGTAAGCGAATGAAAATATGTACATTTTATAAACACCATAAATGTGTACTTTCTACCGGACTTGTAAGTAGTGTAGCAATACAACATTATTATATGTAACACGCGACAATACATGAATTAAATTATTTGTCGGGTCCATGTATAACATGCATAGTACAAAAGTGTTTTAGCTTTATGTACTGGTACTTACTAAATACCAATTTAACTGATGTATTCGGTATGTACCTACTTAAGGGAAAAAAATAAATTATTCTGAACGCACGATGGAGATTCAAGTACAACCAACTGCTACCACATAGAGATTGCAGAACGTGATATTGGTAAGGACTGCAAATAAAACATTTCCGAAAAGTTAGAATATCATTTTCAAGAGAAACTTAATCGCAAAGTGAAGTACACAATCACGAAGATGTCAATCGAACATGTAAACGTTTAAAATAAATGGAAAAGGTTTCCAAAAGTTAATCCTTGGTGATTTAGACTCATCGAACTAAATGGAAGGGCCTTTCTCACCACTGATCGCAGATCTATACGGAGCCCATTGTCGGTGTCCGTGCGGACTCTTCGCAGAGGACAATTCCAAATTGACAAGAGCATCGATTCATCATTGTGAAACTGAAGTATTGTGGACACTTGGAATTCAATTCATTATTGTAAAATAGAATATGTCTTGTAAAGTGTGAAAATAAAAGCGTTTTCTGAAAAATTTATGGCCGTCTGACTTTTCGTTGACTTGTACTACTTGCAAAAATTCAGCATTTTCCTTATACTACAAGTAGTACAGCTTAATAATTATGTCTATTTATGGTATTTGAAAAAATTCTTTTTATTAAGAAAAAAGATGCAACTTCAAACATCTAGGTCTACAAGTTTTTTGCCACATGCTTTCTTATTTGTGGATGTGTAGTAATAAATATATATAATAAAATACGAAAAATTAGAGAAACAAAATATTTGTACATTACTAGCGTATGAATCTTTACTAGTGTATGAATATTTGTCAGATACAGGAATGTTCAGAAAAATCTTTTACATCTATTTTATACTATAAATCCCTATTTATATTATTACAAAAATATAGAAAAAAATGCATACTTGATGCATTGATTCTTGCTATAAGGAAAATATATGTGTGAAAAGTAGTATGAAACTGTCAATTTTGGGAACATTACAAAAATGTTTAGGAAAATATCTTGCATCTATATACTATATAAAAAAAACATCTATTTATTATTACAAATATCGGGGACTAATAAATCTTACTACTTCTGGTATGAGATTCAGTGCAAAATCCAGCACGAATCAATCCTCGATTAGACGATAATAACGCCTCTTGTGGCAATATTTAGAAGCTCTGTTCAGGGTTCGTGCAGCACCAATTAGTAAATGGCAAAACGCAGAAACTACTAGCTAAATAGTGGCGCCTCTTGTGGTGAAATTTGGAAGTCCTGTTTTGACTAGCAGTTTCAGCGTTTTGCCATTTACTAATTGGCGCTATATAGCGATTTTAAAAAATCTTGATTCTGCAGCAAGCGACGCTACTATCATTTAAAATTATATATTCTTTGGAATTCAAAAAATGGAAAGACTAACAGAATTTTACTGTAACTATTTGTTCATCGTCCAACTTTTAATAAATTTTGTTACACTCTTTGATTCAAATTTACATTAGATAATACATACTATTGTATGTATATACAGGGTCTTCCAAAATTACGTTATTTCCGGGAAATGAGGAGTTTCTGAGGGCATTTAAAGTAACTTTTTCCTTAGCGCAAATGCAAATGCAAACTTTGTTTATAAGTTATTAACGAAAAACACTGATCAATGAGAGGCGAGTTCGGCTATCTCGCACCAACTAATCTCGCCTCACATTTAGAGCAGAATTAAAGCAGAGTCCATAATAGTTTTCTCAATTGTATTTTATATCCAATTAGGGCGCATTGTTCAATAATTCGCGTTTTTAGAGTTTTAGAGCAGCACCTTTTGCAGATTTCGTGTCGCTTTAAAGCAGATTTAGAACAGATTTTGTGCTGTTTTAGAGCAGACGTAGAGTAGATTTTATGCTGTTATAGAGTAGATTTACAGAAAATTAAAAGCTGGTTTAGAGCACATTTGAACTGTTTTATAGCAGATTTCTCGTCGGCGTGGACACTCACACATAGAGCCCACTAGGTTCGTTTTGTCTCTCTTGATAATCTCCCGTTCTCTTTCTAAAGCAACTGCGCAGAATGGTGGGGATAAAAAGGTTCTTGAATTGGGAAGAGAAAAAGCTGTTGAATTAAGAGACGACTGTACTTAATCGCCTATATTGCTCTAAAACATATACAACAATAATATATAAACATTGAAATTATGAAGAGCTATTAACATGCTTCTTACACATAAAATACTTCAAGGATCTACGATGTATAGGCAAGCCTTACATTAAAGAATAGTTCTTCTTATATTCTCTATCTTTAATTAAAAAATTCGAATGCTTATTGTTCAAATTCTGTACATTTTAAGCGAGGTAGACAAAAATGTGGTTACGCTCTTGCATCGTTGAGGGTTGTCGGTACTCTCACTTCGATTCCATTTAATTCTTTAGTCATAACTATCTGGCAGCCTAAACGCGACCTAAAATGATAATACCTTTATAAACATGTAGAAAGTTTCTGTGGAATCTAGCAGACAGTATTTGAAATTCAATACTCTAACTTGGCTAACATTGCCAAACTTCAAATAAATCTTATCTTGCAAATTTATTCTACTTCTTCATCTTACTTTCATGAGATTCGATGCAGGGAGAATAAATTCTCCTATTTTGTTTAATATCCTTTGTCACAAGTTCCTTTAAAGGATCGAGGACATGCATAAAGATCTGCAGTCTAATGGAATTAATAAAAAAGCTAATAGAAGAAATTAAAAATTATTTCCAACTTACGTATCTGTTAATTCATATGCTAAGTCCAACATGTCCAATTCTTCATCTGTTGGTTTGTCAGGAAGAGTGTCGTAAACTTCTTTTGGAAATATTAAATGACATGTACTGCAAGTTAGGGTTCCTTCACAAGCTCCTATAGAAGTTTACAACATAGTAATTTGTTTCGAACACAGATAATCATAAAATAAAAACATTTTTTATTTGAATGAAATGAATTTGTTAAAAATCTTTCAACTCGCCATAGCCATCCAAATCTATTTCATTGTTTACAACAATATCTAAAATAGTATCTCCCTCTTTTCCTTTTGCCTTAATCTTTTCTCCATTTGCCTTGATAAATGTTATGTTGACTCTGAAAATATTTGTAATAAAAAGATAGCAATCTAAATCGCAATTTTTTCAAATTTTCCATTATATCCATTTTTAGAACAATTTGTAATCAAACTTATGTTTATTAAAGTTTAGAATTCAATTCGAATCTGAATTATCCTCATTTAATTGCAATTCGGTATAGCGATAATTTTACGTCGTTCATTTGTCCGAGTGTAGAAAAAGTGCAATAATCTTTTTGGAGGCATAACCTTGACGTTATGCTGAAACTAATTATTAGGTAGCAATCGCAACAATTAAAAAAACTGAGATAAGAGAGGGAAAAAGTGAATGTCGTCACTTACTCCTGTTTTTCCGAAAGCGGTTGAGTGGTCGAGGTTTGTCTTATCGCTTGAAAGGAGGACAACGTCGTGTTGTTTTTGTATTTCGAATAATGTGAAGCAACATTGAAGAACGCCCTCGACATTCGTTGAAACTTATTTACTAGCGCCATTTTTTCGTTGAAATACCATAGGTGGATGATGGCAATTTCACCGAACACCGTGACCAAGTCGATGAAACTGAGAACTGGACGGAGCTATATTGACTTCGAGTACTTTCGCAACATTCTTTCTGGGCGGTATACCGTATACTTTAACTTATCCCTAAACGGTAGGTTATGAAACACTTGACACGTGTGACGTTACTGAGCACGTGTCATAACATCCTCAACTCTCTATTTTGGCGACAGAGGTACATCAACCATAGAGGATGTGGCAGATGTAAATCATTGACATTTTCTATTTTATCGACAATTTTTAATATCGATTGAGTTAATGAATTATGTTAATAAAATTTTTGCCACCTTGTAAATGTTAATACAATTATTATTGTTACTTACCAACGAGTAATCAATTTATAATAAATCTTTTTAGAGTGAACACGATTATACGAAACGGGAATAATTTATTTTTTTTATTAGTTTAATAATTTCATATTAAAATATTAAATATTTAATTAAACTATAAGCATCGAGAGTGGAAATATTACAATGAATTAATGCGCACCGCTCGGAACAATTAGGAGATGTGTGGAAGTTGCGACAACGAGATGCAAATTGTACAAATTTAACTATACGCTCCTAATGTACAACAAATGTTTTCGTCATTGTGCTCCATAGCGTTTTTGAGATTATATTCAACTGTATTTGATGTGGAATAAAGTTTTAGGTTAAACGAACATCCACGCGTAACTTATTATGTGAACCATAATATATCATGGAGCATTCTTGCGAAATAGACACATTACATTTGGTTAAGCCATATAAAAATTTGGATACTGTTTTACAAGAGATTTCGAATTATCTTCGTCATTGGTATCGGGAAAAAGGACAGTGTACGATGCCACGAATTTTTGCGCAAGTGGTGCGCCAAGCGGCCAAATAACGTGATCAGCTCTACTATAGAATGGACTAGAACCCACGTCCAATTCAGTTCAATTACTAATTCACAAATAAGATACAGAAATAGGTTACTTCAAATAACCAAGATAGTAACTATCATTTCACAGCCTATTAAGAATAAAGCACGGCTCGATTAAAAGGTTAAGGAACGCTATATTAAAGCCTGGCGAGCGTGTGACAGAAAAATACATTGAACGATTTGTTCACCGCTATACAGTGCATAATTGTCCGTGGCACGATTCCGCTCGTTATCCCTTCGCGTGGACAAATTTGAAATGTGTCGCCACAATCGCCGTATCACGTTCGTTTGACGAGTATCGGATACCGATCGGGCGGCTTGCGAAGCCGTTTGGTCAATAAGAAATAGCTCGCGAAACTTGGGAAAGCATAATGTGCATGTCGACGCGAACAGTGTATCGTGCGTCAGTGCTGAACACGGTGCGTGTGTAACGAAGTTCTATCGTGAACGATAGAGAAAACCATCGATTATAGCAATGATAGCGTACTACAAACGAGGAGAGAGCTACGTTATCCTGCATTGACGAAGAGGGAATAGTCGCAGGAGGGTGTTATATTTCTATCGGCGTGGAAAAGGTCAAACTTTGTCCGGATTCTATGCGATGTACCGGCGCCCCACCCCCGCAGACTGCTTGTCCTTTAAATCTAACCCCTTCGGACGCATTCGAGGGTAGCACGCCGCTGTCGTACTATGCGTGAACATTATCAGCACTGTCATTACTTGCAGGTAAGTCACGATCGCGTTGTCAACACGTTTTAGCGAGTCGAAGATAATTATGTCGTAGTCGCGGAGTAATTACGAATTGCACCGCAAACTCTAATAGCATCCTTAGGGAGCCATGTCGTTTTTTAATAGTGCTGTATGTTGTGTTCGATCGTAAAAGCTAGAGAAAAAAGTGCGTCCAGGTAAGTCAATCCCGGCGGATAAAAGAAATTTTGATCGGGACGTTTATCGTTAGTCTTTGCCTCGACTGATCAATCGATTGTCAATATGCGCAATGTATAAAGTACTTCGTAGTACACGTCGTATTTACAACGCTGTTGTGCCCTCTGAATACAAACGGCCGATTGATTGTTGCCGGTTAAATCGAACAATATTAATCACCGGATGGAGTTCGCTCGTGCAGAATGATATGAAGTGCTCGTCATGACAAAACGTTCGTGGCACTGTGAAAAAGTTTCGAACAGTGCTAGATGTGCTTTAAAGAATTATTTTCGGCAATGGAAACAAACGTATACGAAATATTTTATTTATTTTCATTTTATTTTTAACTTATGATAAATTTTCACAGGGAAAATTAACTTCTTTTTAACTCGAGTTATTTCTCATTTATTTTGTATGTTATATCACTGTGTACATGTTTGTTATTCATTTTGCAGAACTTACTAGTCTTGCAGTAATACCTTCCCATTACTAAAAAGTTCCAAAGTGTTTGTTACGCACGCTTCTTCTGTGGATCTATGACTTAACTCTACAGTTGGAATCAACGAATTCAACATGTATGCGTTAAAGATGCAAGTTGCCTGCCAAGACGAAGGCAGTGGGGAGCCAGACGATCCCAGTAGTCATCATCAAGAACCTGTTGGACCTCCGGCACAAGATTGCAGCTCGTTTGATATTGTTAGAGCCACACAGGTAAAAGAGACCGCATCGAATACATATTATACATATGTGTTTTCTATGGTTTTGTTTCTGAACTTGTTTCTTTCAGTATGGAGCCCTGGATCGTGTAACAGAACTAGTAGAAGCTGGCGCGGATGTAAATCAACCAGATTCAGAAACTGTAACATTATTACATTGGGCTGCTATAAACAATCGAAAAGATATAGTAAAGTATCTTATTGCAAAGGGGGCTGTTGTCGATGCAATTGGCGGAGAACTTGATTCCACACCTTTGCACTGGGCTACAAGGTGAACGTTACATTGTAGATCTGTAAGTTTCGTTAATGTGGATGTACTAACGGATTGAAATATCTTGTTTTCAGGCAAGGTCACCTGTCCACAGTGGTGATATTAATGAGAGCAGGCGCCGATCCTACTCTTAGAGACTCGGAAGGATTCTCCTGTATCCATTTAGCAGCACAATTTGGTCATACATCGATTGTTGCTTATCTAGTCGCAAAGGGAGTAAATCCTAACATGCCAGATAGAAGCGCGATGACACCCCTTATGTGGAGTGCCTACAAAGTAAATAGGTAATGCGAAAACGCGATAGGCTTATCTAACTCCACATGGATTCTATTGGAATCATATTGCATCTATGACTCTGAAGTCTTTCCTTTTACAGTCTAGACCCGACAAGATTGTTATTAACGTTAGGAGCGTCTCACTCGCTCGCAGACAATTTCCATGGCAATACAGCTCTGCACTGGGCCATCATAGCCGAGAACAGTACAGCGATATCTACGTTGGTCCACCATGGCGCGTCTTTGGACGTTCCCAATATCCGCGACGAGACACCGATGACGTTATTAGGTCGTCATATCGGTGCTGCTTGGTTGGGACACAAAATTAGTCAAGAGATCCGCGAGAAACAAGGCAGAACTAGAACATGGTGTAGAGATAAGGTACCAGTCATATTTGCAATCAGCAGCATTCTTTATTTTATATTCTGAATTTTTGCTTCTTCCAGAGAATGCGCTGGTACTGTATGGTCAGTTCGCCATTTATAATTTTTTATCTAATCGGAATAATTCTTCAGAGCGGACTGGATTATCTAGTAAAATTAGGTGCCTTTGTCACTCTTTACATAGCGTTATACTTAGCTAATCATTTTATCTTCGACGAACGATTGTTTCATATTGTACCGATGTCAGTTTACTTAGCTACGAAGGTGAGTTTGCGTACACGATTCCTCTTAACATACATACACGCAGGCCGATGATCGTGATAGAAAAAATTTATCGAATCGGACCGTAACTTCCATCTATCTTGAACAGATAATAAAAGATGTCTTATCGCAAGGACGTGTCTCAGATAACGCATACTAAGAAATGTATTGAGAGCTTTTTTAGTTAATATTATCGAATACACAAACAGTTCTTCCATGTAATATCTGCATGACGAATGTTTATCGTTACATGTTTACGTAAATTCTGTATGATTCCAGATTGTTCTTTTGTTACAGATGTGGATATACGTTACGTGGGTATTCTGGTTGGGCATACACGCTACGTGGTATTTGTGGTTATTGTTGGTAGGCGGTTCGGTACCGTTGTGGATATGTTTTTTACAGTCCTGGAGAGGCGATCCTGGTGTAATTACAGCGACGCACGAAGACAAGCTGAATGTAAGCCTTTTTAGAGAATGCAGTTGAGGAATTGATTTTAGCTATAAAATAGTACTGGATCCTCTTAACGTTCAACTATTTTCAGACAATTATAGAGTTAGCAGAGTCGGGTGGTTTCGAGCCCCAATCGTTCTGCAGTAGTTGTTTAGTCAGAAGGCCCATGAGATCCAAGCATTGTTCCACGTGTGATCGATGCGTGGCACGTTTCGATCATCATTGCCCGTGGGTCAATAACTGTATTGGTAAGCTAATAGAAGCGAAACAGGACAGAGGAGTGCTCTGCCATGTCTACTAAGTAATCGCGTATTACAGCTTAAACAACGTCCGTCGAGTCTAGACAATCTAATCTCTTTATATATCAAATTCAAACAGTTTAATCGTACCGCGCAATACTTCTGACGCTCTCTTTCTCTTTTACACATGATTTGTAGGTGCACACAACCACAAGTATTTCCTGGGGTTTTTAGCGTCACTATTAGGACTCTGTATCGTTGTTTTATCCGCTAGTGTACAATATTGGCAGTTCGAATGTTGGACAAACTTAACGAATGGCCACACTGCTGATAACTATCTTGTTGCCGCGGCTACCTGCGACGCGTGGGTGATGTGGATCACTGTTAATACATCCTTGCATTTCTTCTGGGTTGGCACGTTGTTAGCGTGCCAGTGTTATCAGGTAGAATGTTCCTTCCAGTTCCACCAAAAATATGCCATTACGAGATTACTTCTGAATAGACATTAACTTTGTAACATCCTTGCCAAGTTGAAGATCTAATGCATCTTGTTGTTAATTAGATAATGGTTCTCGGAATGACAACGAACGAGCGTATGAATGCTGGGCGATATACGCACTTCAAGCAAGGAAATCCCTTCCATCGCGGAGCCCTTCAGAATGCTGCCGACTTCTGCAACGTTAGCTTCTGCGGGGTGAAGGCGAAACCCAGCTCAGACTGGTTGCACAGTTTTGATCACAAACAGAGCATCGAGAAGTTGCCATTGCTCGCTACCAAGGACAACTACCAGTACATATAAATCATCTGTCGATGAGGAAAAAGAACTGTTACGGGTGACGCGTTCATTCCAGCCGTCAGAAGCTAAAACTGTGTCATATCATTTCTGCCTGAAGCATTCTCTGGGCCACTAAACAGAGTTACTCCGCAAAAAGTAGTTTTTGCACAAGTGAGTTCGTTGTTCCAGTGATTTTTGCGTATACAGATATTGAATTGGAAGTAATTTTCGTACACAGTCAGATGAGCCACGGGACTTTGAAAACGCGTCTATTGTAAAAGACTGTTCTACGACCGTAAGTATGCGTGTCCTCCCATTGCCATCATTTTTCCGTATTTTCTATCGTACGAGCATCGAACGATATGCACAAGTACTTTGAACAATATTTTCGAAAAGATCGCTCAGCGAGCTCTTTTTTTGGCCACCTGTATTTATTCGAATCTATTCTCCCGACGGGATTAACGATAATTTACAATGTAAATATACAATATGTTTCACATGTAAGCGCAACGTAATCATTAAACGTGAATACGTTAACATTTTTTTCCAAGAATTGTCTTTAGTTATCCGTAGCACCGTGGAAGAGATAAAAAATATCAACCTGGTTCGAATTATAACACTGTTCAACAAAATTGTAATTTTGCTTTTTGACAACCGGTAGACAATTCATACAACTATAATCTAAATGTTTGTAATGTTGTATTTGTGTGTGGAAAACTGTTCGGAAAGCAAGAAAAATTCGTCTTTTATAAAATTAAATTTCTCAGAAAATAAGGAGAAAGTTATATGAATTGCCTATTGCTTAGTAAAACGCAAGACTGACGTTGAATAGTGTCGTTTCTGCGCGAACAGTAATATTTCAATCATATCGAAGAACAATATATATCTTTGTAAGAAAGAACCATGACAGTCAGTTCTATGAGAAAACTATACGATGTACTTTTTAATGATATTATTTATTATAATTGTTTGTACTTTGTAGCTTTTAAACGCCGTAGAAATACATCCACGGATGAAAGACGAACAGCAAATTTTTGCTAAACGCCTTTCAAAAACAGCAATTCTGTATTACATTCGAACAGTTCGGAACTTCAGAAAGAAAAACATAGAAGAAGTGCTGGTCATGAGCGTATACATAACATCTATGTATATACCTATATAAGGAAACTAAGTTTAAGGATTTCAATTAAGCAGCTAAAAAACGAACACGCTGCGTAACCAGATTACGATAGATAATTTGAATTGCATATTACCGTTGGCTGTATAATCTGTTCTTTCGTATCTATGAGTAAGTTCACCAGTTTTAAGTGCCACGCTTGTATTCTTCAATGGACATCCAATACCTATGTAACTCTTTACACTTCTAATCTCGTAAGGTTTGATTAACGTTGTTGCGTCTAATCCGTGATTAATTGCATTGCGCAAACGAGAAATGGTGAACATTTTAACGATAGCAATATAAAAATATTTACAAAATAGCGTATACATAACAAATTGTTTACAATGTCTGTTCCAATGGGTGTCACACACGTGAATAATATTGTCAAATTTTCGAGAATCTATCTTATTACTTGTACGTAGTGATTTAACAGAAAAATTGAAAACTAAAAGAATGGTCTGATGCAGACACAGAACGAAACTTTTTTGTACGACAATTACAAAGGCGACGATTAAGCGTACGTTACAGGTATTAACTTGTGGTCAAGTTCAATGTTCTTTCACATTCCAAAACATGTACTCGCGCCTATAATTGTAAATTACTTCTTTTACTTAAATATTAGTACACCGTTCAGACGCGTCTATGTATCTTACCGGTTTGAATTGTCAGCCACTGAAAATGTATTCGAACGAAACACCGTATACTGTTAAGGTTGCAGACACCCACGTCAATTCCAGTTTTTATCATTATTAGAAACAACAGCTGTGACAGTTGCGTTGTACGCACAATTACTGTGAAAAAAGAAGTAAAATTGTATAATTGAATTGCAACCTTAACAGAATCGACTTAATTGGTATCGAACGAGGTTCCATTTTGTCAAGTTTCAGTAGGTGATTTTTTGTCAATGGTTACCGATTGTTACTACCACAGATTCCCATTGACGGAGTGCGGGTATTACATATTTGACATCGCATTTCGAATAGGTGCCTAAATGTTTCATCGTTGTCCTACACACAATGTTGTAGAAAATCGATGAAACCTGTCAGTTGTATTTTAAGTTTTGATAATAACACAAATTCTCAGTAGTGTCTAGAAAACAAATACACAATGTAAAAACTTGGTTGTGTTTGGTCTGTGTTCGAAGTGTTTTCGCGATAAAGCAGGTATGGAATAGCAATTGTATCTTTATGATTTTTATCGATTGTATCATAGAACTTTCACTGGTCTCAGGCTAGTTTTAATTGTGTACGACTGATTATAATTTTATGTACAGATCATTTGGTTTCATTATACGATAATGTAAATAGTCAGGTATTTTATTTTGATAGTTTGATCGCCTTATACTTTTTTTTTCTAATGCACCTGTGTACAGAAGAGAATTGACTTTCTGTACATTCTGTCCTGTGTATCATTATTAAATGGGAGAGATCACTTGTTCCCATAATTGGGCCGCTTGTACAGAATGTTAAAAACATAGATTTTCCACGAAACGTTGAAGAGTCCGCATAGGGTTAAGAAAGTCAATGATATTAATTCAGAATCGAATACTCGATTGTCGGAATTCACTTGAAGAAACATGTGTATAAATATTCTAAATACAAGCGTAAGTTAAGCGTAAATTGATTTGTACCAGACTGTTCGATTAACCGTCGAAACGAATGCGTTTGTTAGGTGTAACTTTCTTTTTTAAATGTATTTATGCATATTTCCGTTCTAGTCTGACCGATATTAGGGGTAACACGACGTTTAGGATTTTATTTAACGATTAACAATAAACCCTCGGAAAACGGTAGTTACAGACTTCATGAGCGAAAATGTCCAGATCCATACAGGTTATAATTTATCAATGTTTTTAGATACTGCATCATCAGTTTTTAAGATATCTAATTTTTTACTTCAACAACTTTTTCGTGTTTTATTTTTGAATGCTATATGAACATTGTAGAATATTCTGTAGACTTTATAAAAACATTTTGGAGTGAAAAATACCTCATAACTGAATTCTTTAGTTAGCTTGTTAGCTGTTAGAAACTAAAGGGCGTGAAGCCTTTGGGGGTCGCAACAGACCTAGGCACCGCCGTCCGAGGGTTAATGGTTATCATATTCCGTAAGTGTGCGCGATGAACACTTATCTAACAGTGATCTCCGTTTACGAACGATTCGGGAAACCAAGAATGCATTTGAACATTTTGAGAAACATACACGCAATGAACGAACAAATATACAATACAACACGGAACAAATTTTTATAATTCATGTTTTGACATATTTTACTTGTGCGTTGCGAATGGATGGTGCAGGGGGAGATGTCGACGGCGCAATTAAAACATGACAGACACGCGAGCACCTGGATATATAGATTGTAGTTGATGAAACAAAAAAAAGAAAAGGTGTTTCCGGTGAAAGGACATTAAATGTAATCTTGTAAAACACTTTTTGCGACTTGTTACACATTTGGAATATACATAATAATGCCTCCTTGCGAACGATACACGTCGCGTAGACCAGCTTACAGCTGCTGTATCGAATCTTGCTAGACTAAACTAAACCGTTCTAATATACTTCCAACCGAATCGATGTAAATATATCCGTTTTTCCGTTCACTTCGAACAATTTAGCGGGACACGTTGGAAGTCTAAGAAATTTTGGTAAATAATTGCGGAATTAAATCAAAATAACTATGTGTCATAAAATGAATAAAAAGGAAAATGATCAATCGTTTGCTTGTCATTCGTCGACTCCAAAATTTTCTCAAGAGACCCGAAATGCATTTTTATAGTCTCATACCGGTTGTATACGGTAATTCTTGTTACTTCAGACATGTAGGAATAGAGTGTTTTGTAGTATTATGTGTATCTACATGGATTTTGTAGTAATTTTTAGAAACATTTGAACGAAGTTAACCGTTTCCGTTCCTTTCGTTTGACAGTTTAGTTGTGTGTTATCGTTCAATGTTAATTTAATTTTAGTTTCAGTTCACTTTGTGTTCAAGAAATGCGTTCATCATGGTTTCTGCAGACGAGTATCCTTGCGTCGATGCAACAGAAGCTTCTAACATATCGTGTCTGCCATCAGATAGCTGCGGAATAGACACTAGCATCAAAGAGTCTGATACTGAACGTATGAAACAAGAGGGTAATGTTCCCCAGGAATATAATTTTACATAAATTAGGCTTTACTAGCAAATAGAAACTAAGTAGTACGATTAATCAGTTAAAGATTGTTCATGTCACAAGCAATATGGAATTATAAACCGAGGAGTTCCAGCAGAGCACTATTACAGAAAAGATGCAGCAGATCCATCGTCTAAGAAAGAACCATCGATTAACCAAAAGCCGCCTATGCAATCAACGATGCCATGTTTATGTCACGCTCATAAGATGTAAAATCATTACTTTCACATTATGTGACATGATTATTTACTGATTTATATTTTGATTCTAGACCTTACACTTTACCACTGAAATATAAGAATGGTAATTCCGAGGAAAAATATAATGTTATTACAGATGGTTTTTTGTGGATTCTGTTTAGATACTTTTTGAATGTTATTTTAGGTGTATCAAATCGTTCGCCACTTTGGTGCCCCTTCCCGTGGAAATGGCCCAACAAAGGATATCCATGCAGGCAAGATAAAACATACAAGGTTAAATTGAAACAACAGAAATGCCCTCATTATGCCGAGGTAATTGCAGCGAGAATAATTAATTCTTCCGCTTATTTTAAATACCATATTTATATGTTTAGCGTATTCAACTTAGAATTATCTCTATACGAGGCTTGCCATACTTCAGGAGATATATCCCATGACAAAATATGTAGTATTTAACAATATTCTCTTTTAATACAGCCCTTCGTGTGCTGCGAAATATCAGAAGGCATACCCAACAAAAGAAGTGCTAAAGCTATAAAAACAGTTACAGCATCAAAAGCTGAAGAAAAGGCAAAGATCGAAGATCCGAGGCCAATGGAGAAGATAGAGATCTACTACTTTGATCATGGGAATTCGGCGTAGGTGAAATTTTATAAATATAATTTTCAATATTAACCGTCGCACGCAAAAGCTATTGTAGGATTTATGGTTACGTCTTTCACCTAGATATTTTAGAACAACGGACTCGCCACCGATTTTGGCGACAGAGAAGTGCGCGGAAAAGACCGACCAAGCGGCAACGCGGTTTTGGGCTGAAATATTCGGGACAGTCCACATCGGCACGGCCTTTGTCACGGCGTTTATCCTACAATTAATTCGTTTCGTGCTCTACAGCATTATCAGACCACTCACCGTGGGCATTATGCAAATGTTTGCGGATTATTTCATAAAACCCTGTCTATCCATCCTGTTCAACGCTCTTATCCAGCCTGTGCTAATTTTATTCTATAACGTTGCGACCTCGTTGAAAGACCTTTGCGAACCTATCGCTGAAGCAGTCGGCCTATTTTTGAGAGAGATTGCTAGCTTGTTTGCAGCAATTCGGATAGTTGAAGTGAAACAGGTTGTTACTCCTTCCGTTGATTGCACTTGACAGAGGAGAATATGTCTTTGTTGTACGTGCAAGGTTCACGGAATCTTCCGCTTCTATTCGTGAAACGAGAATATTACTTAACGAGATCGCGATCATTTATACGTTACGGTGAGGTAGAAGGTGTATGGCTGATGGACTCAGTTCATGATGGATGGCTTCGGTTGGTTTGGAGAAACTGGACTGAGGCAAGAGGAAGCAGATTTCAAGGATCCGAATGCTGAAAACACTTGCAGGCTCAAAATTGGATAGATGTAATTTATAGAAACGTGTACTGTTTTTAAGTCAACGATTGCTGATTTCTTATACTTGACAGTATTTCCATCGCAGAGTAGGATAAAAGGCTTCGTTTCTTGCAACGATGGTCGACGGCGAAGGACATCGATGACACAAACGATGATTGCAGGACTGGAAAAAACCGACCGAATGAGTTGGACCGAAAATAACACATGCCTTAACACCAGGTATATATTTGGTATTACTTTAACTTTACAATATTATTATCGTTTCATTCGCTTTGTCTCATATCGTTATTTGTATTTTTTTTTTTTACAGAACAAATTATCTCTTATAGCAACTAACTTTGTCAATAATAATCAATAATCATCCTTCGTCTCTTCCGTATATCTTACTGTTTAATAAATTATGTACAATCTCACAAACAACAAACGGAGGAACCTAATTACATCATGTAGTTGTTGTTCACACTTCGCTATGTACAGGTACTACTGGTTTTTACAGAACTGCGCTTTCGCTCCACCTGCGTGTGGTCGTTTATCCTTTAAACTCTGTTGCTCGCATATTCTATGTTTAAAAAAAAAAAAAGAGAAAAAGAGAGAGAGACAGAGAGGAAAAAGGGAAAAGGGAGAGAAGAACTTAAAACGGTGGAAAACAAACGCCTATCGTCACCTAGTCTCAGGAACTGCAACCTCTGGCTTGCTGTGCATTGCGATCTAGGTGGCTGTGGTCGGAGTCTCCTGGATGGCTAAGGTTTGTGAAGGCGCAGATGATGATGTCGAGTCACCTGCAACCAGAGAACCACTGTCAGTAATTGTAATTCAATCGTCCGCAATAAGCATACACGATAAAGCTAATAAAATACATTAGTATCGCTGAAATGGTTCATAAGTTAATTCTTCTTCTCTTTTGAACGCGATAGTCATCTTTAGGAGTTTATCGGACATTATAATTATTTAAAATTGATTTTCAAAAGTAGAACAGTTAATTTTTCTTCTCTTTCGACTGTAAAAGATATCTTAGGGCTCTATTAGGCATTGTTCCTTTGTAAACGATTAAAGTTAGAAATAGGAAAGGGGAACGAAGAATATATAATAATGAAACGTAAATGGCGTTCCGTGACGCTGAAGAGATTACACAAAATCATCGATATGCATATAGATATTGGACGACCATCGTCCCGGTGTGCGTCACCACGTTCATTTATGTAACCACGCGATTTTAGTGGGTCGGTGTATTGCTTGTATGGCTATACGCTGCATGCATATACCGTTAACTGGTGCTGCTAATAGGCAGGGATCGAGCGATATAATAATACTGTCCTCCCTTTTCCTGCAAACACTTCTAGATCCAATGATAGGCGAACCGTCATCTTCGACGCGAAAGAGTTAAACTACATCGCCATTTGCCAATCGAGCAAAACCGCGCGTTAAATATATCAGCTGTATCGTTCTGTTTCGTTCTGTTCCGAAGGTCCACTTAGGGGTTGAAGCAGCGAAGAAAGATCGCTCTTTCAGATTTAGACTGAAGGTCCACGAGCGTTGCATAATAATATCGATCGGCCGTGGTCGAGCTTACCCAAGAGGGCAGCCTCTAAGTCCCCCAAGATCTCCGTTTCCTTGGGATCGATCAGGTTGAAGCGTTGATTAAGGAGCGTGAGGTGGGCGAACACACAATTGAGGTGAGCGTGCAACCCCAATAGTGCTACCTCTCTGAAGTGGCAGTGGTAAATGTGTGCCACCACGTGGTACAGTAGCCGCAGGATCTTACGCACTATCGATTCGAACGAGCTAGGAAATTCATTTGCTGAAACATCAACGAAACCCGACGGATTAGCGCCGTTATTACCATCTTTCGTCGGTACGCGCGTCGTCGAAGACAGAGAGTTCTGGCAGAGAACATTGCAAGTGCCAACGTTAATAAAATTTATTTTCATTGGTAACCGTTCCACGTGCCAATGGTAACATCGTCGCAAATCCGTCCTTTTGCAAACGATTAAGAATATGGCGCTGAAAGACGCTACTGCTAAAAATGGCGCCTCTTGATGCAATCTTTGTAGAGAAGATAGACAATTTTCAGACGCGTTCGAATAAAAGTACATATTTTTGAATAACGTAGAGCTTGGATAGGCACTTACGATCAGAGTGTTTTCTACCGAAAGAGTCCTCGGATATCGCGCTGTTCTTACGAGCGGTTTTTAGAGAGGAACGTTTTGCGACCAAAACTCTGTTCTCGAATTTTAATATTCTAAAAATACATTGTTGTGGAGAAAGATCCGTGTATGCATATTATTCCGCGAAAATCAGGATCGAACGGCAACCGAAGCATTCTTTGCAGAACTGCCGTTATCATTTGTTAACGCTCCAGCATTCTCCAGCATTTTACGGACGCGCAAACAACGCGGGTACATAAAAATTTGCCTGACAATAACTGCCCTCCCCGACTAGAAATATAGTTTCGGTCTAACAAGGGCAAACACAATAAGCAAAGAGGCGAAATCCATAAAACCGGGAGTAGGACAGCACGCCGGTCGTAAAATACAATTTTTCTCCGGACGATTCATAAAAGCTTTAGCGATCTCGATTTGCGATCTCGTCGGATCTGGGTTATGTGCTCCATAAAACGGTAAAAATTGCTCATCGAACGAATGATCGAATATTCGGCGATGGTACACTACGCGGAACAATTTTTCTTTTTTTCGTCCGTCGATGTTCTGGACTACTTACCATATTTCGTAGGAAATATAGTCTCGTCACTAACGGTGCGTTGTGTAAAAGTCATAACATAATCTATATACTGTGGCGCTGCCACTCTCGTTTTCTTCCCTTTCTCGTCGAACCACAGATACGTTCTGAAACACGATAACAGAGCGAAAATTACTCGACCGGGTAATGTTCGGCCAGAACGGACCAACAAAGGAAGAAGAAATGGCCGAAAGAAATCGCCGTGGAAAAAACCTGGAACTGTTCGGAGAACGCTCCTTAAAACTCTTCCTTTGCCGCGTTCTTTTTTCGTATTCTTAGAGCAGCGTTTCGTAGGCGAAAAAACTTTCCGGAGAACTACGTTCCCGGAGCTCCAGTTTCTTTTGGCCACGGATATTGACACGCTGTGTCCTAATGAAATTCTATGAATTGCATTCTTCGGGATCGTACTCCGTTCACTTTCCAAACAGATGCAAGACAATTCGGATGAAAATTGTAGACGGGGACACTGAACGATTGCAAACAGTTCGATCGACATTCGGTTAAAAATGTGCGCATTATTGTAGCATCAACTATTACGAGACTATTATCAACTATTTGATATGAATATCCGATGTCTGAAAAGGGTTAATGTACTTGTCAGGCTTGTCCAAAGTATATAGTATCTTGACAGTGAATTTTTATCTACAATGAAGGTGTTCTTCTCTTTCTTCCTCTCTCTCTCTCCCTCTAACAATTTTGGTGAGTCAAAAATAAAATTCTTCTTCTAATCATTGCAACAACCAAGAGCTATAGAAATGTCCTCTTTCAGAATTTACTATAAAATTATATGATTCAATCATATTCCTCTATACAGGGTGTCCCAAAAATGTCTCGTAATACGGAAATGGGGGATTCCTGAGGTCGTTCGAAGCAATTTTCTCCTTAGTGAAAATGCAATCCGTGGCTTTGTTTACGAGTTATTTGCGAAAAACAGTGACCAATGAGAGGCGAGCTCGGCTGGAGCGGGAGACGGCCTAGCCAACGAGTATACAAAGTCTAGTTCCGCTCATTGGCTCGCGTCAGCTGATCTCGCCTCTCATTGGTCACTGTTTTTCGTTAACACGTTCCCTGCCAGACCGTTTTTTGAAGACTTTCCGTTCAAGCCGCGTGGGGCGTATGCGCCCCACGCTTTACATTTGTATTATTTTGTTTCTGGCGTATGCTTTACAATAATTAAAATAGTGCAAAAATCATAATTATCAAGGAAAGGTTGCATAGTTTAACATGCATAACACAGCAAACCAATAAATTTATTTTTCTAGGAATTACTTTAACAAATACCTGGCTGATCATTATTATGCCAAGCGAGTTGCATCCTCACATATAATTTTTTTTATCATGCCTATATTAGTTTAAAATATAACATTTTAGTTAAATTCAAGTTTGTATGCGATTACAAAGGGATGTTACGATGAACTTTGTTAAAACATGGCAAACATAAGTGTGGTT